GGACAAGGGGGGATGGCTTTAAACTAAAGGGGGGTAGATTTAGACTAGATATAAGGAAGAAATTTTTTACGCTGAGGGTGGTGAAACACTGGCACAGGTTGCCCAGAGAGGTGGTGGATGCCCCATCCCCGGAAACATTCCAGGTCAGGTTGGACGGGGCTCTGAGCGACCTGATCTAGTTGAAGATGTCCCTGCCCATGGCAGGGGGGTTGGACTAGATGACCTTTGGAGGTCCCTTCCAACCCAAACTATTCTATGATTCTATCGTGATGGAATCTCAGGTAGTTAGCTTCAAATCTCATTGAGTCTTGTAACTTCTAGATGGAAGAGACATTCTAAACACTAGGAAAATGCTGCTTTTATTCACCACTAATCTGGGGAAAACCTGCTTTGTTGGGCGTAAGTATTAATGTACAATACACTCTAAAAGTGCTCACCTCAAAAGCATCAAATTCTACAGGCAGAGGAACAGCACAATCACCTCTATGATGGAACTGAATGCACCACATTTCCTGCATGCATGCAGGTTTCCATCACTTTGATAACATCTACCAGGACCATCTTACAACAGACTTGATTATTCAAGACAATCAGAATTCTCAACCAAAAGCAACATACCTAGAGCACTGAGGCCTCATGTCCTCCCTGATATTTCTAGTAATGAAATGCTTAATTAAAACACCATACACACGACACCTTACCTTTGACGCCATACGCATGAACAGTGAGTTTTGATCCTCTGCTGTTCTCATCTTCTCATTTTTGACTAAATCCTTCAGGGTCATACTATCATCATCGTGAAAATACCTTACTCTTTCTTTATCTATATGAGTAGGGACCTGGAAACAAACATATTGAAAGTAAATATTAAACCCAGTGAGAAAGATCAACTATAAAATTCAGATCCTAATAATTTCAACAAGTTTAAAGAATCATGAATCAAGCTAAGCACATCTGAAACAATTGGGCTTGCTGCTTCAGTTGACCTAAGGAAAAGAACATCTTCCCCTTTCTTCAATTGGATCAGTACATCTAAATAAAAATATAGCCTCTTCCCACAATCACTATATCCTTAAGCTATCAGAGCTATAACATTACCACTCAGGAAAGATGTACAGTAATTCACTGAAACAGTTAAGTATGGAGAATGGAAAAGAGCATTTAAGCTCACAAAAAAGGAATATTCTAAAAAGTAATCATTATTTACAGAAGCTTTTGAATTGACAAGTCACAGACACTACTGAAACACATCAATTGCAGACAGTACTGAAAACTTGTATAAATGTGGTAGCTCTGCTGGGAAACGTTGCCATCTTAGACAGAGTGCACAAGAGAACAGAGTTTGTCCTTTAGGGCAGGACTAAACTAAATCCTGAAGGAGCATAGGGAATGGTCATTAACATAAAGCAAGATGGCATTTTCCAAAATGGAAACAACAGAAGGATGACAAGCAATTCCTCATCCTCTTGTGCCTTTCACTCCTCCATAGCAGTGTTACAAACTGATCTGTCCTACTAATCAAGAACATGCTTGCTAGAAATATGAGGTATTGTCATCTCCTCTTACCCCAAGAAGATCAAAATATTAGTTTATTTACTGTTGCAAGCAATTATCCTAAGAATAAAACACTGGTCCAGCCTCCAAGCTTCTCACTGTTCCCCAAAGCACTTTGTTACAAAGATTAGTTCATAATTTTTATTATCAGCAGTAGCATTATTTTTGATCAGAAGAAAAGGAAAATTAGCCACTGAGTCCTGAGTATCTCAGTAAAATCTTTCTTATTTTGGAAATATTCACCTCTGCTAGTCTTTATTATTTACATAACTTTATGTAATATAAACTACTTGGCTAAGAGACTGTGATAACTTGAAAAACTTACTTTTCCTTGAGTGGGCATTTAAATAAGCCCTAAAGTGATCCCTAGGGAAACAGTCTGAAAATAAACTTCTTATATGCTTAATAAATATGTACTCTAACACTTAATTACAATCATCTTCTGAAAGGAACTTTTTAACTACCTATTGACATTCTGATGAGACACTCATTAATTATGGCATCATAAAAGTAAAACTACAAAATCATTTCAGAATTACACTTCAATACTCACATTTGTACAACTTACCATCTGTCGCTTTCTCCGTCCTCCTTTTGGCTCCTGTGGTTCAGTTGGTGCGGTCACAGGCCATGCCCTTCCACTTTGATCTGTTCTGACAAGGACCACTTGTTCACCTTGAGAGCTTGAAGCCTGTGTCAGGTTTTAAGATATATTTTAAAACAGATGATACAGACAAAACCAAAAGAAACACCTAATCCACACTAAATAAATGTTTAAAATCCTAAAGAATAAATAACAGATTCTTTACAATTTGCATGCTCATTATAATTCAAAGCAGACAGTATTACCTTACACAAGGTACTCTTTTCCACATTCAAAATGCACAGAATATTAAACATATACTCAGCTAGTTAAGTGCAGAGTTAACAAATCCTTTCCAAAAAGAACCAAGTTTGTATTCTTGGTTCTTGCTCATAAAGCTTCATCCCCAGAAGAAATACAATGCTTCTGAAGATTTAAAATAGATAATATTGAATGCATATACACCACCACCATTATAACCCCCCCCCATTATAACAGTGTATTCCTGAAAACCATCTGAAAAGCTGCAGCACGTTACCACTTCTGGGCTTTTTGTGGACTGGGGCTGTTGGGTTTTTTTTTTTGTTTGGTGTATTTTTTTCCTTTCAAAACTTGGCTAACAAACTAGCCAAAACATTAGCTATTGCTTTTCAACACATTACATTAGATCAGACTTTTGTTTCCTACGCTGCACCTACCACCAGTACAGATCACTTTTATCACAACGTAATACTGAAATTTTTTTAATCTTGATTCTAGGATATGCAGAATAGGAAATACAAACAGCTCAACACAAGTATCTCCCTCTATGGTGAAGAAGAAACAGGTGAGTAGATGTACATTGATTATTTAGGTCAAAATAAATTATAGACTGAGGCAGAAATGACAATATTTGAATCATCTGTGTGTTGAAATATATGGAAACAAAAACAAGCGTTTACCTGATACATGCCAAATAAATCATTTGCCTTTGGATTGCAAACACGTTCAGTCTTGCATAAACTACACTTGTACTTAATTACTGCTTCTACATACCAAAAGAAATTTGGGAATTACGAGGAGGGTATCTTCTAAACCTGACTAAACCAAGCTCTTGAGGTGCTGGAGATGTGAGGTGAGAGGCACACACAGGACAGGGCAACAAGGGAAGCTTTCACACACTTACCCTTGGTCCTCATGGTGGAATAGAACCACCAGTTCATCTCCTGGAAGAGCAACACAGTAGGGCACAAGCAATCCAGATTTCGAATGCGTTGAGGACAACTATTGACACAAATGCTAAACAAACTGACTAGGAGTGTTGCTCTACTGAATTTTCTACTCATAAATTTAAAAAAACAGCCTAATCAGGGATGTGGAAGTCAACAGCTGCCTTGGCTGCAGCAACCACGAGATAGTGGAGCTTGAAATTCTAAAGGAAGTGAGGAAGGCAAGTAACAGAATAAAGAAAAATCAGTAGGGCACAGCAATCCAGATTTCGAATGCGTTGAGGACAACTATTGACACAAATGCTAAACAAACTGACTAGGAGTGTTGCTCTACTGAATTTTCTACTCATAAATTTAAAAAAACAGCCTAATCAGGGATGTGGAAGTCAACAGCTGCCTTGGCTGCAGCAACCACGAGATAGTGGAGCTTGAAATTCTAAAGGAAGTGAGGAAGGCAAGTAACAGAATAAAGAAAAATCCCTGGATTATAGGAAAATGGACGTCAGCTTATTCAGGAATCTGCTTTGCTGGATCTCATGAGAGATGGTCATGAATGACAAAGGTGCCCAAGAGAGCTGGTTGATCTTCAAGGACAACCTCCACAGAGGATGAGAAGGGTCCATTTGATCTGCTATCTGGCTAAACGGGGAACTTCTAACGAAGCCCAAAAACAAAAAGGAAGCTTACAGAAGGTGGAACCTGAGACAAGTTACCCAGGAGGACCCACAGAAGCACTTTCCAGGCATGCAGGGGTATAATTAGGAAAACCACAACTGAAGCTGAAACTAGCAAGAGATGCAAAGAACAAAAAGAAGGAATTCTATGAGCGTACTGGATATCCTTCTACAAGCAAGGACAACACAGGTCCGCTGCTGAAAGAGAGGAAAGACCTAGTGACAAAGGACACCAGAAAGAGGCTAAGACACTCAATACCTTGCCAGTCTTTACCAGCAAGGTATGCTCTCAGGCTTCTCAGGCCCCAGTGCCTAGCGGCAGAGTTTGGAGGACAGAAGTACTACCTGCAGGAAAAAAGGATCAACTCATGGACCACTTAAGCAAACTGGAAATATGCCAGCTTATGGATCTAGATGGGATGCATATATTACGCTGGACAAGAGGTCTCTCCCTCTCACATCTGTAGAGTAGTGGTGATCAGTGGATACCCCTGGAAAAAGGTAAATTTATGCAGTCATCTTCAAAAAGGTGAAGAAGAAACACCTGGGGAACAACAGGATGTCCACCCTCACCTCAGTCCCAAAAAAATTACGGAACAAGTCCTCGTGGAAGCCCCTTCCAAGCACAAGAACAGCAGCAAGATGACTGGGAACAGCCAACATGGATTTGCAAATGGCAAATCATGCCTGATAAATCTGCACTCTGCGGTGAGATGACTGATTCAGTGCACAAGGAAAGTACCAGGGATGTTGTTTGCCTTGAAGTTTGCAAGGTTTTCAATGCAGTCTCATAGTACTTTTGTTGCCAAATTGGAGGGATGTGTAGACTGCAAGATGGGTGGGAAATTGTCTGGATTACCAGGCTCAAAGAGTAGTTGTCAATACTTCAAAGTCTAACTGGCACTCCTCATAGTTTAACTAGCACATTGTTACAGATGCCATTCCTCAGGGGTTGATCTCTAGCAACACAATTTAACTTCAACACCCTGGACAATGGAACAGAATGCGCTCTTGGCAAGTTTGCTGAGGCACCAAATAGGGATGGGATGGGGACATGGTTGATAGACTTGAGGGTAGGGTTGCCATTCAGAGGGAGCTCAACAACCTGAAAGAATAGGCTGACAGGAACCTCAAACAAATGCTACATCTTGCACCCGGGGACCATCTCATGCATTGGCAAAGGTTGAAGACAGACTAGGGGGCAACTGTAGAAAAAAGACTTGGGATCCTTGGTTGACAGCACGTCAAAAAGCGAGTTTGTGAGCCAGCTAATCACATCCTGAGCTGTGTTTTCCATCTCATAGATTAGAATTCTCATGCCTTTGTATAGAGGCCAAAATGCTACCCTTAATCACGAACATGCAATTTATTACACCAATTTACTATCCATAGAAGAATTGCGAAATAGTCATTTTCAAAAGATCCCATAAACTAGTAAGATTACAGAGGGAAATGAGCAACTGAAACAAGCTTAAAGCATTCATTCTCCCAAAACTGCTCTAGCTCCAGACAAAATACAGTAATTCTGAAATAAGTCTTATTTTTTTTAATGATACAAGTATGTAGCCTTGAAACACGGTTGAAGTAATCAGTTTTGTCAAATACTAACAAATGTATATAGAAAGTTATCATTTCCCCCCCTCCATAAAACTAAACAGAAATTAATTTCTTGTAAATGTATTTTCAGATTAACTTCTTTTATACTATCAGCTAGAAGTTTTTCAGCAATTTTCTACTATATATTTTAATATTTAACATCATTACAGATACAAAACAGCCTGTAAGCAGACTTCCTGTGTTCTTTATATAGAACATAATACAACTGCTTATTTTCAATGGATGTAGAGCTTTGCAAGTCTCCACATCGCCTTTGCTTTCCTTGTAATCAACAAGTATCAGTAAGAAATCTTTTATTCTTAGCAAAAACCAGTTTGCTTAATGTTATTATTGTGGTCAACAAGTGCTAACCTGTTAATGAGACAAACAGCGCTAAATGCACATCTTACCAGCTATTTCACAATTACTATTACCTGACAAAGCACGGAGACCTTTTTTATGACCTATAAGCCAAAAAAAAGATGATTATGTATTTTCTTTTTTCTTTAATATGCTTATTATAACTGGTGTAAGAGTTCAAAACTTCTAAACAGGAGCTACTTGACCTAGAAATAGTGCAGTCAACTGAATCCTTTGCCTGACATACATCCTCTGTTTAAAATGAATAAAGACCAATAAGAAACTTAAGATAAACGGTGTCATTTTCCTGTCATTATCTCTATCAGCATTCTGAACACAATTACTTTTTGCAGTACTGGAGTTCATAAAGCACTATGTCCCAGGACCCAAACTAATAGAAGGCAGGACCCAGAACTAGTCCTCTGGTTTGTTTGAGTTTTTTAAACTTTCATTTCAAACTTGAAAGGCAGATCACCACTGAAGAGGTATCACAAGATCCACGTCACAACTTACATAGGGATGCTATCATTAAAAAGTGCATGTCCATTCTGCATTATGCTCCTAATCTCTACTTCAGTTGAAGGGTGGAAGAGAAAAAAAACACCAACAAAAACCCCTATTAGTTATGACTGACAGTTCTTCTGAGATTATATTACAAAGAGGAAAAACAGAACAGCTGTGAACACATTAAATGCTGGATATCAGAAAGAAAGAAGTTCACAGAGTGGTCCTTACCATTAGACATAGATACAGAAGGTTAATATGAAAACTACTGGTAATGTTGATTTTTCTTTATCAGAACCCATGAAGCAAGCTGCCAATTACCTGGCTTCAGTTCAATCTGTCAACCAGTGACAGGTGAATGGATAGTAAAATCACTATCACTTGTATGAGCACAGAGAAGATCCCTCAGTTTCCTTGTACAATAGGAACATTTGGCCAGATAGTGTAAATCCTTATTATATTGGGCATCTTCAGAACTGTAAGACCAGAAGCAAACACCTGCCTCAAGGAATTACCTACAAGTGAGCTCATCTTAGTTTGGACAGAAAAGTGTAATCCCTGAACTCCTAGTCTACCCTTCAGCACTTAAGATCTTATGGGCACCTCAGTTTTTGTCAGTGGAGTTCTAGAGTCATATTGAGTTATGCTTCCAAGCATGCCCAAAACTGCTCCATTTTGTCAGAGACGGATGGCTTAACATCTATTCCATATCCAAACCCAATCAGAATGCCTGGACTAAGCACCCTTATCCCTAAGTTTTATCCCT